GGGGAGCTGGCAGTCCTCTCCCCCTCCAGGCTCCACTCTGGCTGTGCTGTCCTTGGGCGCTCCTAAGGGGGAGGGGACAGAGGGCTGTGGGCCCTGGCCCCCTCTGGCAGGACTGGGGGAGGTAGTGAGAGATGGGAAGGGGTGGTGGTGGGAGGCTGCAGGTTGGGAGTGAGAAGCCATGCTAGGGAGGTTAGAGTGACAAGAAGTAGGATCATAAGAAGCAGGGTCATGCTTAGGAAAAGGTTGGGAAGCACTGGTATAGACAGTGTTGTCTAGTTATAGAAAGGGAGAACCAAGTGTAGCAAAGGGTGTATTCATTACCACTTCAGGTTGCATTAAATGTCTACACTAACAAGAAAAAGCTCATTAATGCAAAATAAGAATTAATCTGATTTGAATCAACCATTTCTGTCACTTTGTTTAGTGACAGACTATCAGTATCACTAATAATGTCAACTTGCAGTTACATTCAAGGTGTTTTATTAATAGCTTCACTTATTTTTGACAGTTTATTTATTTCACTGAACTCCAAAAAAGCTAAACAATGCTTTCAGAAGCATCTTGCCTCTTGGAAGACTTTTCTTCAATTAAATCATGCTAGTTAGTTTACTCAGCATATTCGATCCCTTCATGATAAGCATTAAAATAAACTAAGGGGGGAAGGTGACATGCAATTAAAGATTCAAAGGAGTCGAATATCAAGTAGTTTCCAATGTGCTCCTAAAGAAATATTAAACTATTCACCATGTTCAATTAACATTAAGGATAAGATCATTGGAGTCAGTCATCATCTACAACTAGATTAAACAGTTTCTTAGAAAGAGGCCAAAGTCTCCATTATAAGAAAAAAGTCAGTTAAAAGTACAAATTATTTGGAAAAACCAATTGAAGTCACACTGAACTAACAGGATAGGAAAGAATCTAATAGGCATGTTTGTTATCTAGGCAAAAACAAAACATGTCCTTCAGTTACTGAAGGCATTCCAATCTTTTACCTTTCTAGCTTTAGCCTGTTCACCTG